ACACACACACACACACACACACACACACACACACGGGACAGTGCCCCTGGATGCCTGGCCCCTCTAGACACCACACTCAGATACACTCAGACGTGGCTTTGGGTGGACACAGACCCTGAACAGACAAGGAGTTCTGAGTTTGAATCTCCACCTTTCCTGACCTTGAAAGCCACTGCTCTTTCTGGGCCTCATTTCATCATCTAAAATGGGGATGGACTAGGTGATTTCTAAGACTCCTTCTAGCTTGGCCTCCTGGGCCCTCAGAGCCAGCCCAACTTTTCCTTTCTCTAGCAGGGCAGCAGCTGTATCCACAGCCTCAGGCATCACTGGGCTGCCAGCGCCTCCACCGTGGGCTCTGGCTCTTGGGAGCTGAGCGATGCTGTGTGCAGGGCCGAGTGCCAGGAATGAAGCTGGCACTGAACAGCAGCCCAGGCAGCTCCAGGCCTTTGGGCCTAGGGCCCAGCCAATTTCTGTTCTGTTCCTGTAGAACTGTCTCTGGATTCCATAGCTGGAATCTCCTAGCTCAGTGAAAAATAAAAACTCCAAATGATGTGCTTATCTTCCCACTTCTTACTGACCTCTGGGAGTTTTGGGGATCACAGCCCCCCAATCCTATGCTCGGAGAGGTGTCCTCTACCTCCTCACCCACAGTTTCATAGGAGAGAGGAGAAACCAGATGCTAAGTATGGAGTGTTTTCTGTGGGACACCCCTCTGGTGCCAGCCCCTATAAGATGTTCAAACTCTACCCTCTCAGGGCCCTGGGGGAGGGTGGGGTCTCTGCCCTGACTGAGCGCCAGGCCCAGCCTGGAGCCCATGAACTAGGTCTGGGCCTTGATGAGGATGTGGCAGCCAGCTAGCTGGCTGGGGATGCACCTTGGGGGCGGGGTCTCTGGGGTATTACCTGAGCCCACAGGAGGATACACTCAACTGCAACCATAGCTGTCTCTGGAACCTTCCCACCTTGAGGATGGAAGGTGTCAAAAAAGAAGGCAGAGCAAATGCCTTCCAGCCTTGGCACTGCTATTTGACTTTGACAGGTCCCTTCCCCTCTCTGGGCCTCTGCTTCCCCTCTGTAAAATGAAGAAAAAAATCTCATCCTGCTCACTTGTTGGGGAATCCAGGAAGCAGGCCATCCCAGGGGCTGGGGCAGGAAGAAGGCTGACTGTAGGTGCCCTCTGCCTTAGGGT